CACGCCTTTCTCCTAGGACCGTCTGCTCCTTCAGGACTATCTCTGCAACATGGTGCCTCTGGGAGTGGGGAGTGGCCGAGGAGGAGGAGCTGTCTAACAGGAGAGAAGCTCCTCTGCAGACGGAGCCTTTATGTATAAATAAGGGCTGTCTTTCTTGTTACCAAACAGAAATCTTTTCCTGACCAAAATTCATACCGTAAGAGTTGGAAATATGTGCTTACCCAGGCTAGAAATCAGACTCATGATTACCAATTAGCTAGAGCAAATAGATCTGCAGTTCCATAGTAATCTTTACAACCACAAAGAAAAAAACCTTTTTGCTCATAATTAAAGAGAAAACACTCCTTGCTTAGGTACCTTGCAGGCATTAATATATTATTTGGGACACGATCTTGCCACCAGCCAGAGACTTATTTTCCCCTTCTTTTATGTCTCACAGCGCTTAGCGAGTGAGACACCCACGAAAGCCTCAGACTTAAGGACTCTCTTCAAAGAACAACATGATCGTTTTGACACTTTCTAAAATAAGATAAGATTTCAATGATAGTCAACAAAGGGACAGTGCAAAGCTTGGATCTGCTCCCTGGAGGCTAGCCACGAGTCAAGAAATCCTCCGTAGGCTGGGCACCCTGCTCTACTAGTGGACGGCCCTCCGACCATCTACGGGTGTCAGGAGGCAGATGGGATTCCTTATACAGGCTCAGCCAAGGCTTTCACAGAAAGGTGATCAAAGCTGGCCAACTTTTCAACCAACTGTGCAAAACAGTAATACCGCTGTTCAGAGAAAATGACTTCTTTTTCTTTGTAATTTTATAAGCCAAAATTGGGGGAATCCTAGGTAATTTGGAGGCATGGGAAAGAAACCCCAATTTTCTGATACAGGCTATACTGTCCCTGAAAACAGAGAAATAAGCAAAAAGGCTGTAAGGACAGAAAATATAAGATAGCTAAGATTTGCTAGTTTAAGGGCAGGCTGCCACACAGAAAAACATGTCAACTGGCTGGTCTTGGTTGCTGCTGACTCCTAAATGTGCTCTGAGGACAGGTGGCATTGTTAACTTCAAAAACAGAAGTATTTCCAAGTTACCTTGGGAGATAGTTATCTGTATTCCAATCAGGTTCTTCATTAGTATCCTAGTATCAAATGTCTAAAAACCATACTTAAGATCAAATAGCATTATATTACTAATAGCAAAATGGGAACAAGTAATGTATAGAGTGTTTTCTGCGGAACATAAGATTGGTACTACGGATTCAAAATAGGTCTGTCTTAAGGGAAATATGAAAGAAAGCAAGGCAGAGTATTATGAGGAAGAGCCCCTAACAAAGGTCTCTATCTCCTGTGAACAACCTTGAAATAGCAGGAGGAAGCCAAAAACGCACTATCACCACATTATGGAGCAATGAAAGACCATGTTTTTTGATGGCACTCAGGGCCTTAAGCATGCTAGGCAAGTGCGCTACCTCAAGCTATCTTGCCTACCCCACAAAAATCTTCTTTGCCCGCATACAAAGGGGAAGAAAATTCTAGTCACTAGTGATCACCGTGGATGACTCCATGTCCTGGACACAGAGACTCTTAGTTACACTACTGAGATTTCAAAACCCTTCACCTATCTGGGTAACAGTCTGAAGAAGTGTCCACACTTTAAATAATAACTATGAAATGGTCATGTGTAGGAAAGGCTGAGAAGTAGAATTATTATAATAGGGTATTAAATAAAGATCACAAAAAGCTACTTTCAAGCAAATGATACTCTGGGACTATATGAGAAAGATAATTTAATATCAAATTATTCAAAGGCATTCCCATGAAACTCCTCAGGCAGTCTGGCCTGTGACGGACTGCGCCTGGACGTACAGTCTCCTGCACTGTGGGCTACGCCTTGGAGTTCCATGGGGACAAGATGACCCGAGAGGGTGTGAGAGACTGCACACCTTCTCCCCGGTGCTAACAATACGCAGCTCAACTTGTTGTGGGGCAACTGGCTGGTGACATGGTTAATGAAGAGTTAGCTCACACCAGAGGAAAGAAGAACAAAGACTAAAGGAAATGAAGGATGGTTCAACGGGAATATTCAAAGCTGTTTCTAGACTCTGAGCACTGTTCAGCTCTGTAAACCAGAACACTGCGTCACAGAACCCAAAACTTCTCAAAATGAACACTGGACGGTTTCACTGCGACATCACATGACCTACGCACAGTTCTGTGCTTGGTGAAGGATGGATGTAGTTAGCTTTTGAATATAAAGTTCACATTTTCAGACAGATGAACACACAAAGATGTCTATTTTACTCTTCTGTTAATTTTCTCTAGGGGAGCAATCATACATTCAATAAAATCCTAACGTCTTATTTCTTTGGGTAGAATTCTGAATACTTGTTATTTGAGAAATGGAAGAAGACAGAAATGTGGGAAACAGTATGTTTATCTGCATAGCTGGTGTTTAGAGGCTATTAACTAAGGCCTTATTTGGAAAAAAGCAACAAAAACCCAGAAAGTAATTTTTAAAAATCACGTCACTAAAGAGCAACCGGGCTCTCCCCAACTCTGGGAGGACCCAGGTGCTCAAGGGCCCGCGTGGGGGTTTCTTCCTCCCAGCTCCCTTCCACCGGGGAACTGTTCCTTGGCTCCCTGCTTTCTCTTCCCTGGCCCTGCATATCGGCTGCAATGTACATTCGCACCCCCGCCCCCAGTAATCAGCCCTAGCTAAAGTTACAGCATCCATTTCTTCTGGCTGTTTTAAATGAGAAAAGGGAGACAGAAAAAGAACGAACAAAACAGAGAGAAAAAATGAGGAAAGAGCAACTCAGTACACAGGGATAGACGGTGGGTGAAATGATCTGCACTTCCTCTCGGGTGCTGGGGAAACCACGGCTCCTTCCACCCTGCCCACCTCCGCCTGCCCCAGCCAGGGCGGGAAGCCGCCTCCTCTGCCTGCTTCTCTGCGGCCTGAGCAGCTGCGGACGCTCTGGGCTGGCCATGCGCAGCTTGGCTCTTTAGGGCAGGGCTGGGAGCACTTGGGATGGCGTGGGTCCCTCTCTCATTTACGGGACAGGGATCCCCATTCCTTTTCACAAAGTTAAAAGTTTAGCTGCCCATCATCAACAAGTGATGCCAAGTGAATTAGACTAAGACGATGGGAAAGGGGGGCAAGCAGAACTTGCAGTATGATTTATCAATTCCAACAAGCACTCATCCAAACTCTACCTAACTTTAGCTCCACAATCTTGGCAAATATCACAAACAATACCACCATAAAAAGCTAAGCAAATCCACTTATACCTAAGAAACTTAGTGTTTCTCCATTCCCATCTCACTTTGTTAATCTGAAACTAGCCATTTTATCCCACCACAAATATAGTTTGTTTAAATACTATGTATCTAAATTAGAATTCCACTGATTTTTTTTAAACTTAAAAATCATAGGTTGCTCTTTATACCCATAAGGAAAACATTTTTCAGTCTCTGCAGGAAGATGATAATACTATTTTTAATTACATAGGACATTTTAGAAAAACTCAAAATATTTTTGAAATAGTAAAGTCTCTGATATTCTTGGGAGGTAGGTGAACATTATTATACCCAATTGTCTCATGGGTAATCTGAGGCACGAAGGTTAAATGATATTCCCCCTAGATGTAGTAATTTAGGAATTATTCCAACTGCCTGACAATAGTTTTGCTACCAGGGACCTCTGTTTTCTATTTTTAGCCACCAGTCGCCTGTTCCAAATCAAAATTTTATTTAAAAGGGGGTAATATTTAAAAAATAAATTGGTACTATTTTTGAGGATTGGTCCAACTTAGTCTCCCTCCCTTAACATGTCAGATCTCTGTTTTCAACAAGAAACAGATGACTCTTAGATACTGAAAATTACATTATTTTGCTGAAGGGAGAATCTAAACCACCATAACATCAGATGTAATTATCTGGCAAATAAAAATAAATAAGACTGAAGATGTCTCAAGAATGCTACAGATTATATGAATGTTTTCCTCAGTATCTGAAGTCTCTACCTCAGTTTATTCATATTTTTAACAGCTATGCAATTATATGATTTCTTCAAATCACTTTCCAGAAGAAAATATGATTTTTTTTTTTTTTTTTGCTTACTTTTGTTTTTCTTTTGGAGACAGGGTCTTACCCTGTAGTTCAGGCTGGCTTTGAATTCACTATGTAGCCCAGGCTGGCCTTGAATTCATAGTGATCTTCCTGCCTCAGCCTCCTGAGTGCTGGGACTACAGGCCTGTGCCACCACACCTGGCTGATACTTTTTAAATGTTGATACAGTTGCTAACTTCCTCCAAGAATGCATTCCTGCTACCATGCCGTGCTTGTAACTCTAGCCCTCCACTTGTTTAGTCTTCCCTGACAAAGTGCACCTGGCCCGATCACCTGATGTGGAAGCTACTCGTGCAAGCTATTCCAATGCTTTATCTTACTTATGCCAAGTTTGAAGGGTACAGAGGAGTGGGTTATAGCCAGGAATAATCAATGAGTCCACTAAATTTATTTTACTTGTAATAACTGACACACACACATATGTATTTGTTAATTTCTACTAATAGATATTATTCAAAGGAGGAAGACAGCATCTGTGATAAGAAAATCCCCCAGTCTTCCCATTTTAATCAACTAAAAGCAATGGAATAAACAAAGCAGAAGTTTCTCAAACATGGAAGAGCAGTGCTCAGAAAGGATGCAATGGTATAGCAGCTACTAGTCTCATATGTATGTACGTATGTACCCCACACATGTACCCATATACACGCAAAGGAAAGGAAGGCTAGTACAGCATGACACGACATGGCCAAGTCTGAGATTCTTTCTCTTGAAACCCCTGACTTCTCAATATGTACTTAGGGTATCTGAGAATAGTTTCAAAAGAGGGGGAAAAGAAAGAAATAAAAGGCACTTAACAAAGACAAAGGCCTGAATTGAGCATGTTTTAGAGTAATATAAGCATTTACCAGAGCTAAGAAATTATTTACAAGAGTTAAACTTTTCCCTTAAAATTTTATAAAATAAAATTGCATAACGTTTGTGATCAGTCATTTATCTACTACTGCGCTTCTGCTTCATTTTTACAAAATCAAAATCCCCCCTCCAAACAAAAAAATTGTACATGCAGAGTAGGAAGTCAAAGTGCCCCTTTGAGAACACAGCTCAGCAGACATTGTGGTGCTGATGCACAGGGAAAGTTCTCAAGTTTGGCCTGATTATAGAATTTTTTCATTCTTCTATTTCCAACTTGAAAAACAGAATAAAAACCAAAGGACAAAGCAAACAAATTCAAAACATAAATGATAACAATACAGGGACCAGTGTGCTTTTATGGTACACTCCTAAAATAAAAGTATCCTAATCCTATACATGGGTCAAAGTATGTGACAAAAACTAGAAAATAAAGAACTGTAAATTAAAGTCAACCAATATGGGCCAAGTTCATTTTTCAAATGTAGCAGCAAATATGACAGATAACTGGAGTTCTAGACATGATCCCAAAGACAAAGAGTTCTCATAATCAATGGCAGTTTAAGTAACAGTAGAACTTTCATTTCAAATGTCTTAAATCCAAGTCAGATGGAAAGGGGGATGGGAGAGGGCAACCAGAGGTGAGAGACTAGTGCTGCCTGCCCTTTCCATTCCCGGGTAGTAAACAATTTGGATCTGCTTTGGGAAAAAAAGAATATCCTGGGTTAAGAACCAGTTCCAGTAAGTTGTTTCCAAACAGGTGTCAAACCCACAGTATTCAAACATGGACCTTCCCCTCACCTTGGTGACCCCCAAACCCTATTCAGTGTCTAAGACACACAATGAAGGAATTTGGGCTGACATCATCCATCAAAGGGGTGGTGGGCATGAAAGAATGTACTGGCGCAATCCTCTTGATTTCTTCAAAGTACTGTATCAGGGTTTTGTGACTATAGGTTAGCATCACTTCTTTTCCCAAAATCTTTTATTCAGGCTGTTTTAAAATCATGATTTCCTACCCTCTGATCTCAGAGCATATGAGAGAGAATTATAATTCACTTACAATGGAAATTATTGCTTGCATTTAATCTAGAGGCTCTGAATGAGCTTGACACTTTGCTCCCAAACAGTCTCCAACTGAGGTCCAGCAGAGCCATCTCTGAGGACAGCTCTACTGACCATTATTGCTTGTGAATACTGAGGATTAACTTGTATGTACAGTAACAGCTTATATATCAGTGAAGGCAATTTCAAAGTAAGACAGCTGGAAACAAATAACTTAATCTTCCTGAATCAAGAATCCCTCCGAGTGGGATGTAACTAAGTGTGCTGATTACTTTTGCATTTGGATGTTGCTAATGCTCTTTAGAATACACATTGCTCTATAGATATCCTTTCCAATTACCGTTTTAAAAAATAACATAATTTAAGTGCAAAAATACAGTATGAGTCAAGTCTCTGTGTTAAAAAATAACCAATTTATATGTTTGTTTTTTAGTAATAAAACTGTAAAGAGAGATGACCATAAAGCATGGACACCACTGTTAATGTTATGATCTAGGAAAGAAATAAGTTCTATTTACATGTAGAAACTCTGATTATATTTTGTCTATGGAGAAAGACAAGGATTTTGACCCATTTCCCATTTGTACAACACAAAAGGAGGGTCTTGACTGAGATGGATGTAAACTGATCTGGGAAGAGGGGTGGGTGGGTGCCGAGGCAGGCGTTTGACTGCAGTCCTCGAGGAGAAGGGAGAATCTCCATGTTATATTTGCAGAGCCATGGGCCTTCAAGTATTGTGACTTGTTAGTATAAAATGATATCGGGGAACAGAATTATTAAATCTGTTCTCTTCTAACGATAACAAAAAACTCAGAGTCATCAGGGATCTTCACTTTGCATGATTCAGAACTGATGGGTTTAAGAAATTACAGTATTATTCTTTGACTTATACTAGCCATTAATTTATATGAATATACATGTGTGTATACACACACACATACAAACATAGATAAATACATGTATACCCAGCAGGAAGAGAGATTAATATGCACTCTGACCTCGCTCCTGGCAGAAGTAATAAAACAAAGGCTACCTTCCCAAAGGAAACTCCCACCACCAGCCCAGCTAGGGTTAGCAAAGGCAAACATAAGAGGTCTGCTCCCCGGAATAAATCAGAGTTGAGAACGCTTCCCTACTTAAAAAACAAAATGAATCTTAATCAAACAGACTGGATTCAAGTCAAACCTCTGCAACATCCCAGTACCCATCAATGGTTACTGTGAATTAATCAGGTTCTTTTATGATAACAAGTTCTTAAATCTGAAGAATTCAGTTACTTGCCTTTTTTTTTTTGCTATGAAGCAAGCCAACGTGCCAAAATATAGGCACACGGTCTGAGTGGGCCTGGGCTCATTTACAGTCGTGTAGGCAATTTGGGACTTCTGCTTATAAAAGAAAAAAAAGACTCTGGTGATAACGATGAAAATATGAGAAAAATCTTGCTACTGCTAGTTTAGTGCCATTTTGGGGGGTGCTAGTCTGTTGTTATCTAAAAGGACCAAAGTTATACATTTAAGAGCTCACGCAATTGTTGGGTATAGTGTGAAAATATTCACAAGTTTAAAACTCAAGAGATACCAGAATGATGCTGAGGCAAAATAAAACGAAATGTATCCAAAGAGAAATACAAATGCTTCCCTTAATTCCCTTTGTTAACTATTATTTGCATAAGGAAGCTATAGTAACTGAGGAACTTATTATCTGCAGGCTTACTGACATTATCAACACTCTGAGTAAATACTGGTAAAGCTTTAAGATCCCAAATGCTCCAAACAATTTCACTACATGGATATATGAAGGTAAATTAGATTGTGATTGTTATAAAAGACAACTCTTGTATATATAATGATCCTGATGTATTTCTTTTCCTTAAAAATACGACCAAAACCCAAAAATTTATATATATATATATATATATATATGTGTTATTTAGATGACCAGTGAAAAAAATATATGTAGTATACACTTCTACCTGTTTTTATTAATAGCTAACAATCACCTGAAGTATCAGTAGCTAAAAAACCAGAAAGTGAAGTTGTAAAGTGAGGTGAACTGGGGAGAGCTCACAGTTCTTGTTGGGAGGCCTGCCAGGGCGAGAAGCAGGAAAACAGCAGCCCGATAACAAAGATTCCTATTTCTCAAGTGAAAAATGTGAACACAGTCACATTTTAACATCAAGACTAGAAATAAAATTAACCAGTCAATACCAGATGCATAAATCACCTGAAGGAAAGAGTTAAGTACCTGCTTCTAAATGGAAGATGATATTGACCCTTTTACAAAAAGGGGACATTATGTTTTGTCTGTTAAGAGTAACAGGCTCAATTTCTTGACTTCTAAAAATCTAGATAATTTAATTACATATATCACTGTGCTCGAGTACATTTCCTGATGCATCTTTAGTCCACTGATGTACACCGGAGTTGCTACATACTGGGAAAGATTCAAGTTTGCTCAGGATGTTTGAGGCTAAGTATTTCTTCAGCTGCTATCTGTTATCAGGCGTAAGGTTATTTACTCAATTTGGGGCAAATCTCCTACACTATTCACTTGAGCAGACATGAGCATTACTCCTGATGAACTGGCCCAATTCCAAAGCTACTGCTTGTATTATGTGGTTATGTCTACAAGTGTTCAGCTCCAACCCCCAGGATGGATGGCATTTACCCAAATCCTCTCAACTTCCTCTTCCTCCCCGGGGAAAAATCGAATTTGTACTTCTGTGGGTTTGACAGCTGAGCCTCTTTTGAGTCAGTTAACATGGTAACTTTGTCTTTCTTTAGGAGAGACCAAAGGTCACTAACTTTGCACAAAAGCATTTCTTCCTCCTGCACCTGGCATTGCTCAAGTAACATTTTCTTTCCTTTTCCTCCTCACCACAGTGCTTGGGACGAGAATGTAAACATCGACAGAAACAGCAGCCCTGTGACCACGAAAGGACTTCCCCATCAGGTAGATCCCATCAGCCAGCTAAACATTTCGTCTCTCTGCTCGCTGGGAAGTCACTGAGATTTCCGCGGTAACTTAGTGTCCCCTTTACTTTGGCCTCCATCTGAGAAAAAGAGACGTTAAATTGGTACGGTTTGACATGTTAGAAAAATAGATAAGAAAGACAAACAAAGTGAAAAGAACAATTAACTTTTACTTTTTTATGTGGAAGACAGTTCCAAAAAGATAACATTTAATATTTCACATGCTGTGTAGTGTTACAGAGCCTGATAAGACATAAAGATTCAAAACTCAACAACGACCCTATTATGTCTAGGGACTACTGTTCAGGCGGTTTTCAGTCTGAGGCACAACCCTGCTGGGAGGGACCCACCACACCTTTTGATTCCTTTGGAAAGCAAGGTCAGTTTCATTTTCTTCTAAGTGGAATTCAACTTTTTTGGGCTATGAGGTGGCAATTATCCATATTGCCCAAATATCAGGTAAATAACTGTAGCATACTGGTAGTGATAAAATCTGTTTTTGTTTTGGTCCTGAACCTAGTATAAGGGATAGAAGTCTGCTACTAGGAATAATGGTTTCCATTTTCAACACTCTGCTGTTTCACTGTTTATGTGGAAAGTGCTGATTACTCCATTTAAACCTCAGTTAAATCACCTAGAAACAGGGAGAGGGGAGGAAAAGGAAATACTCAGGCAGGCAAGAGTAGGACCCAAAGACTTAGACAGCCAGCAGAATACAGGGCAAACCTCTGGAGGGTTAGGGTTAGCAAGGACAGTGAAGACCCCAGAGAGAGAAGGCTCTGATTCAGAGGAAAAGGCCCTGATGGTGGAGAGCCACAGGCAAAAGGAACAAATTCCTGTATCATGGGACAGCAAGAAGCTTATAGCTGGAAGAGGACACGTAAGTCACATGGCCAGGCCCACTCATATGACTGTCTAAATTTCTTCAGAAAAACATAAAACCAAGAACATAAAACAAAAAGACTACCTCTTCAATAAAATCTGTATCAATGAAGTAAGATTATTTCAAAAGTTATATAAATAGGACACTATTAAAATAACTTTGGTAAAAAAATTTAAAAGAATAACTTTGGTGACAACATCTAAGGCTTTTTAATTTAAAAGATAGTATGTATCTACATTTGTTGAGAAAAATGATTTTGATTTATGGTATAATTAAATTCATGAAATGCTTAAGGCCTCTTTTATTTTGTTTTATAGATAGGTTTCTCTAGGTAGTCTAAGTCAGCTTTGAATTTGCTATGTAGCCCAAGATGGCCTCAAACTCATGCTCCTCCTGCCTCAGCCTCCTGACTGCTGGAATTACAGGTATAGTTATGACACTTTTTATATGGGATTTTTCTCAAAAAAGTAAAATTAGCAAAATAAAATTCTTGTATTAACTGGACTGTATAATTCTCTAGACCAGAGTTTGGCAAACTATGGCCCAAAGGCCAAATCTGGCCTACCATTTGTTTGTATAAATAAAGTTTTATTGGAACTCAGTCAAACTCATTTGTTTACATATTGTCTATGGCTGTTTTAATACTGTAATCGAAGTTATTTCTGTATAGAAACTACTGACTTCAGTTTTAAACAAGATTTAGAATTAACATTAATTGGTTTCTTACTATGTACCAAGTGCCCAGCTAGAAGCTTTTAATTGTTATTTTTATTAGAGTCCTATAAGAAGTCTATTAGAAACATCTTCTTGGGCTGGGGATATAGCTCAGTGGTGCAAGCACCTGCCTGGCAAGCAGCAAGGTCCTGAGTTTGATTCCCAGTACCGAAAAAAACCCAAAAAAACAAAAAAACATTCCACTAGAAACATCTTGTCTCCAGTTCACAGGCAAGAGAAATGATGAAAGTTAAGAAGCTTGCTCAAACTGGCAATTCTGGAATTAAAAAACCCAAGCCTGGGTCTTAAATTTAAAGTTTTATACTAGAAGGTGTTTTTTAAGCAAAAAATTTTAAACTTCCATTATTTGGAAAAGATTGCAAGTCATATTTCTTTCCTCATGGTACAGTAGTACTGACCAGACAGCAAGATAATTTACCCAAGAGCTGGAGTTGGGCATGATGGTGCACACCTATAATCCCAGCACTCCAGAGGCTGAGGCAGGAGGATTGCTAGAGTAGGAGGCTAGCCTGTACTATACTGCAAGACCCTGGCTCAAAAACAAACCAAAAAACAAAACAAAACAACAACAGAAGAGCTGGGATCCTGGGGTCTTTTGGAGCCACAAGGATCCTGCTCAGTTACTCCCTTGCAGGGGGTCCCTTCATGTCTCTGCCCATGAGCACATGGTCATCAGCTGGACTCACACCACCAGCAGTTGTCCATACTCAGGGAGGCCACTTCTGTTGCAGAACAATTAGCCTTATTAATTTTTTTGTCTGAGACAGGATCTTGCTATGTAGTTCAGGCTAGCTTTGACCTCACTATGTAGCCCAAGATGGCCTCAAACTCGAGGCAATCCTTCTGTCTCAGCCTCCCCAGGGCAGGGACGCCACCATGACCAGCCCCCCTTTTTTTTTGTCTTTTTGAGGCAGGGTCTTGCTATGCAGTTCAGGCTGGCCTTGAGCTCACTCTGTAGCCCAGGCTGGTCTCAAACTCACAACGATCCTCCTGCCTCAGTCTCCCAAGTACTGGGATTACAGGTGTGTGCCACCACGCCCTGCTCAGCCCTCTTATTAATTTTAAATTAAGTTGCCAGGCTGAGCTGCATAGCGAGACCCTGTGTCAAAAGGTCAAAAAAACAAAACAAAACAAAACAAAATCTAGTCAAGTTCGGGAAGATCAGGATTACCGACATTTGTCCCTACTATATATGGTCTATTTTGCTCAATTGTGGTTTAAACTCATTTTCTCAAGTCTGAGGGAGCTTACCACAGAACTTTTACCTTTCTTAAACTTTCATTTATTTTGTAAATTTTTATGAAGCTGACAAAAACATAAAAGCTGTGACTTTAACACGATATCATGTAACGTTTGGATACATGTATATACCGCATAATGCTCAAATCAGGTTAAACGTATTTATCCCCTGGACAGTCACCAATTCTTTATGGTGAAAACCATCAAACTCCTTCCTCCTGGCTTCTTGAGATGCACAGTATGTAACGGTTACTGGAGCCATGCTGTGCAACAGTACCCGAGACTGTCTTGCTTCTACTGACCAAAAAGGGCTTTGGGAAAATGAATGACAATTGATGGCCTCAAGATTGCTACAAGCCCCCATCACCGCACGGTGGTCAGTGGTAAAGTGGATCGAAGACCATTCTTACTGCAGTGGCCAAAAAGAACAGCAAGGTACTAGTAAACTTCCAAAGTCAAGAGGGCAGCTGGGAAATTATTTCTCCTCAGAAGACTGGGAAATGGCCTCCAAAAGAGCGCAGGAGCTGTCTATGGAGATGGACCGCTTCTGCAAGGGAAGCTGGAGGCTGTCAGGCACGGCAGCCGCTCTCCAGCGTCGATTCTGGAGTAGGCAAGCTGGGCTGCAAGTGCGCAATGCACAGTTCGGGTCACGTGCCACCAAGCTGACGGCTAATGCCACCATGTATGGCATGTGCTTGGAGTGTACAAGGCTCTGGGTTCAGTTCCCAGCACTTAAAATAAATGAATGTAGGCTTCTTGAGTTTGCATCTGAGAGCAAACAACGGTGTATCGTGGTGGGCGAGCTGCTTATCTTGCTGATTCAGTTTTCTGATCTGTGAAACTGACATCATCATCTACCATTCCAGGGCTTACCATAAGGATTAAACCAGATTAACCGGGTAAGCTGTCCCAAGACCAAATGGCACTTAGTATGCTTTCAATAAATGGAAACAATTGTAATTCCTGCATACAATTTTTTACTTTTTCCCTCAGTCCTACAAATTGAACCCAGGGCCTTCACAGTCCATCCCCAGCCCCCTTTTTTTTTTTTTTTTTTTTTTTTTGAGACAGGGTTTAGGTTGCCCAGTCTGGACTTAAACTTGTGACCCTCTTGCCTCAGCCTCCCAGAGTGGCTAGAATTACACATTTACACTATCATACCCAGTTGTATATAACTTACATGATTCTCCTTCTTAGCCATCGCTTCTATATGGTACACACCTTCAAAAAGACTCTTTCACATGTAACAGAAGACCTCAAGGACCAGTTTTTAGGACTTTGTTGCCAATGAGGATTAATTCAGTCACACATAAATTTGCTTTTTCCAACTGCTATCATTCCATACTGTTTTCACAAAAGTATAACTTGTATTCATAAACCCAGGTAAACAATGAAGAGAGAAGGAAGAGGGAGCTTTCTTACCATTAAATGTTTGCTGTAAGTGTGTAGGCAGAGGTGAGTGGGAAAGTGTTGTTGCGTGCTGAGCTCCTGGCTGTAAACCCTTTAGTAAATCTGAAGGGAAAACATACTTGTCAGTCATCTTTAAACTAAGATGTGAGCCCTCTTAGACCCACCCTAACATACTGATCTACAAGCTTGACTTCAAAGGCCTTCTAAAGCTAGAGCACCCACGTTAACAGCTGTCCCACCTACCAATGCAGTTACTGTATGTGTAAGCAGCGAACCCAACCAACTTGACTTTTATAAGTTTCATTAAGGTACACGTTGGTATAGGTGGTTTGTTAGTTCATTTTAACGTATAAATAGTCCTAAGGCCCATAATTTGATCGTAGACAAAATAAACCGCACTTCAATCCCCGAGCTCCTGCTCTCAAACTGAACAGCGAGCGAGTGAAGAGCCCGACTTACTCTGAGTGAGGCTGTGGTGGAAGGCGGCTGAGGTAGATCCCGAGGTGGTTGTCACTCCAGCTGTGTCCGTTCCGAAGCCAAGTAGCTCCAAGGGAAACTGGAAGGGCATGGTCACTGGAACAAGGCCACCCAGCATCCCAAAAGGAGTCACATTTTGATTTGTTACAGACAAGGGTGATGTCATGAGGGTCAGAGGTGAGGCATTAGCCAATAATGATGCTCCTGCTGTGGACTGTGCAGAAACCAGGGGTCAAAATAGATAAGAAAGAAAGTCCTTCACCTACACTGATTAATTTCATTTAAAACCGTCATGGATGCAAGATTGTCTTTTTTTTTTTGTCGTCGGACTGTGCCTTGTACCTACTCTAACAAAACTATGAGCCAGACATTAAGACTGAGGTGAAAATAAATTTTAAAGAGTTCCCAACACTGGTTTCGAAGACCTGAAATTACATTCAGGAATCTTTCTAGGCTCAGCTCTTCGTCGCCAACACAGATCCCTTCTTCGCTGTGTGACACACAGTTGCAGTCGGCGGCTCTCCTAGCCTAATTCCTGGTGTTACAATTCCACTTCTCCCGTTCTGCTGCAGGCACAGACCTGAGCCGCTAGGAAGTACTGTAACTCCGTGCCAGTGCACCTGGGCGAACTCAGAAGATGCCAGTTACCTTCCTGTTCTTGCACTCATCCCAGCACCAGAGGGTGCTCTTCCTCCCCTCGCCCCCTCCCTGAAGCGCACCGCCAGCCCCTTCTTGAACTGCTAGCTAGCACAGCACCTCCGCAGCTTCTCTACCTTCGCACACAGAGGCTCTTACTCTTTACTAACACACTGCAACTTCTAGCAACCATCTGATTTATCTGTATTCCTTTTATTATCAAACTCACTGGGTGACAGCCTCCATTTTCCACTTTACTGAGTTGTTACTTAATCCTTGAGAGCTGGTTTCCAGTCCGCTACCTTTCTGAAATGACATTCCCTACAACAAGAGGTAAATGAATGCTTCCACTCTCCTCTACCTGGGCTTGGGGACCCTGCTTAGGAACCAAAAGCACTTCTAGATCAGAAATACTAACACTGATGAGCTTTCACTGGGAAATGACCTACATAGACTCCTTAAGTTACTTTAATGCTTTCAACAGTTTTCTGTTCAGCAATTGAATGATTTTTGCCTGTTGTACCTTTTTTCTTTCATTTTATATGTTGACATGGAGTCTCACTACATTGCCTAGGCTGGCCATGAACTTTGGATCCTCCTGTCTCAGCCTCCAGGAGTGAGTAGGTGGGATTACAGGTGTGAGCCACCATCCCTAACAACAAGTTTTTTTTCCTACTTTGTTTTTTTGAGACAGGATCTCCCTACGCAGTTCAGGCTGGCCTTAAAGTCACTACATAGCACAGGCTGGCCCCAAACTCCAAGTGATCTCCTACTTCAGCTTCCCCAAGCGCTGAGATTACAGGCGTGTACCACCACATCCAGCCCGTTTTTCTAAGACTGATAACATCCAATTTGGTATCAAATTTACCATCAAGCCTTCTGTGTTAGACATTACTATGAAAGTTTCTGCCATTCTAAGTGTCCCTTTCTAGTCTCATTTAACCAACCTTACTGATAAAAAATTGTCTAGTTCTATCCGTGTGTGGTGGTGCACACCTGTGATTCTAGTACTTGGGAGGCTGAGGCAGGAGGACTGCCCCCGAGTTCGAGGCCAGCTTGAGCTATACAATGAGTTTAAGACCGGCCTGAACTATGTAGCAAGACCTTATCTCAAAACAGCAAAACAAAATAAATAATTCCAGTTCTAAATTTGATCAGGAAAATTTACTTCTTTACATGATTTTGTTTTTTTTTGGTGGGCACCAGAAATCAAACTCAGGACCTTGTGCTTGCCAGGCGGGCACTTGCACCACCGAACTACATCCCTGGCCCTACATGATTTTTTTAGTCAGCAATAAATGCTACATAAATCCAAGTACTTGGGAGACTGTGGCGGGAGGGCTGCTGTGAGTTCCAGGACAGCCTGAGCTACATGGCAAGACCCTGCCTTAAAACCAAACCAAACCCAAACAAAACAAAACAAAAACCCTAGATAGCTATTATCAGTTTTAGTTTGTGTGTTACCGTGAACCTAAGACTTTCTTAATGTACAAGACGCCAGTTCGGGTTTCCCTGCACACGCAGGCCGCCGACAGCTCCACACCTCAAGGTCCATGCTGTCGTGCGCTGAAAGTGAGAGAACCTTTCGTGTGGGTCCTGCCACTCTCTCTAGTGCCCGCCTGGTCCTCCTGTCATTTCTCACAGGCGTTGTGTCCTCTCGGGCTCAGCCCAGAGCTTAGGAAGTGGGCAATGCCAACCCCAGCACCTCCCCCTCCAGCCGCATCCTTCCCTCCACCCACCTTGCGGCCTACTTCCTACTTCCGGCCTCACTTCCGGCCTCCCGTGGAAGATACGGGGGCTTGGCTTAGACAGACTTCTATCCTTTTAAAGCACAACTTCCTTTTACATGTAAGTCCAAATTTTCATCACTTTATGCTTGGCCTCAATGGCTTTTCTAATTTGCCAGTCTTTTGTTCCACTGTACCAGCGATAATACATAGTGGATGCATTTAGGAAAAAATTACGAAGTTAAAAATAACGATTTGAAGGAATGAAAATAGGATACTGAATTAGTTTAGTATATGTGCTGCCAAAGTGAACACAGATACTGCATTAGTTTAGAAATTAACAGAAGCTGCTTCTTTTTAACCTTACTTCTATTGTAGTCTTTGGCTGACAGTTTCCAAGGTTGTGTGCTCCAACTGGAGGCCCTCAGGTAACAAACCCTAAACAATGCTAAAAAGGGGAAATGTAAAACTTATCTGGAGGAGTCTAACTGAAGCACTAAAGTAGATGGAAGATGTCAATTAGGGTAAGTTTTAAAATTAAATGAGTATTAGCAATTAAAAAATAAATACCACGCTGTACCCAACATTTGGTACTTTCTCCATGACTTCTGTCTGGTTTCTGCAGCGCTGGGGCTTATAACCAGCGCCCACCTCACCAGCCTCCCACACTTCCCGGTCTCTGCTGTAAGCTGAGACCTCTCAGAAGCCGGAAATTCCTCAGCTGAAACAGCGGAGCGGAGAAGCGGGCAATGTAAAGTAGGGAAACAGTTCACGATTTTGTCCCATGATCAAAAATATTTTCCACAATGTATTTTATTCTCAGGGAAAGTAGGAAGAGAAACCTTGTTCTTCCCATGGACATTAAATGTTTTAAGGCCTCGTTTTCTATTTCCACAATACCTGGAGTAATGCTCGGAAATGTCCAGCAGACCACACCACTCCCCTCTTGGACAGTGCACCCATTAAGTCCCTGGCTGCACACAGAATAAAATCGAAGTCCTCTTGTGGCCTACCAGGTCCTCACGACTCTCTGGGACTTTCCCACAGTGCTGCCCCAGGCCATCATTCCAGGCTCTTCCCTCCTCTGTCCTGAGCTTCGTCTTCCTCTTCTCCAGGGGGCTGGCTTCCCTCATTCAACCCTCAGCTGAATGAAAGGGTCGTCCTCAAGGAGGCCTTCCCTGCTTCCCCATCTACGTTCACAGCAGTCATTCTTTATTCTGCTTTTTTCCCACAGGTCATGCCATAGTCTTTTGTTTTTTTTTTTCGGTACCAGGAATCAAACTCATGACCTTGCGCTTGCCAGGCAGGCGCTGTGCCACTGAGCTAAATCCCCACCCCAAGTATTTTCGTTTTTTGTTTTTCTGCCAGTATCGGGAACTGAACTCACGACGTTGCGCTTGCCAGGCAGGCGCTGTGCCGTTGAGCTAAGTCCCCAGCCCCCTTGCCATGGTCTTTATGACTTGCCTTTACTATAGTTTCCTATGTACAAAGCCTGCTGCTCTGTGGGAGGAGGACTGCAGTGGGACGCTCATCCCTAGTTACAGCACCTGGAAGAGAGCCTGCCACAGGACCTGCTCACTACACATTTACCTCATGAATCAAGGAGTAGGTTCTGGAATCATAAAGCAGCAGAAAGGACTCCTAGAAAATCAGGAAGCGGAAAGCAAGAAAAGAAGAGGAAACCCTGGAGTGACAGTCAGTAAACAGAAAGTATGTACAGCTAGTGATGGGTGCCAGAAAACTTCTGTCTTTTGTTAAAGGACCTGTCATTGTCAGTCTACAAACGAGTAAACAGCTGCAGATGGCTTGCAGACAGGAGGGGAAAGCTCCACAGGGAAATCTGCTTTTATCTGGGTGCTAAGATAGGAGCTGGAGGCCAGAAGGTAGCTGATAAGACTTCAAGGAGATGCTACTGGTATGAAAACAACGTTAGGTTCATAAAGGGCAGAAATGCCCTTATTCAGTTACTGGCCTTTTCTTCAGTCTACCCAAGGAGATAGAAAAAAGAGCAGATGGAGGTAGGGACACCAGGGTCTCCAGATTATAAAGCCGCTCGCAGAGGAGGAAAACCAAGAGGGAGTGCTTGTTTGAAACAGAGATCTTGCCATGTAGCTTTCTTGTTGACAAAACAATTATTTGTTAGACAGCAGATGGGTTCTTTTGAGATAAATGATCAAATACAGGACTGTCTTTGGGAAAAGCATAGGACTGACAGCTTCTAGAGATAAAAAAGAACAAAGGAAGATTTAAGCTTAATTTCAGAGAAAATGAAGTTAAAAGAAAAGTAAAGGCAATTTTTAATTCCAGGAAAAACACACAAAAAACTTATAATAAGAAAGCAAATAAAACTGTAGTTAGGATATTTAGCTCAATAGGGACTTCTGAAGTCACATACTTAACCAAAAATTATAATTGCTTTTTCAGGAGTATAAGGAAGGTATAAGAGAACTGTAAGCTGTAAAAAAAGAAGAATATGAGAGAGAGGGAGAGAGAGAGAGGGAAAGAGAGAGACAGAGAGAGAGACAGAGAGAGACAAACCGAGAACAGAAAATACTAAAACAGATAACATTAGAAGATATAAATATAAATATAAATATATATATATATATTTTGTATTAGGGATTGAACCCAGAGCCTTTACACTGAGCTACATTCTCAGCTCTTTTTATTTTAGTTTTTTCAATTTTGAGACAAGGCCCTGCTAAGACCTTAAACTGCCTAAAATGTGCTTGAACTTATGACCCTCCTGCCTCAGCCTCCTTGAGTAGGAATTATTTTACAGGGGTGTACCACCATGTCTGGTTCTAACTTTCTCATTCCTGATGAAAGTAAAACCAGTTAATCCTAGACTTCAATAAATGAAGTGTTTGTTCTACATTAGAATCAAATCATTCCTAAGTCTCTGTAAGCGGCAGAATGTTGACTGGGTATTAAACATGTGTGGAATACAAACTGCTACACTCCACTGAACAGCAGGGCACCTTTACCAATGGCAAGGGGAGAGCAATTCCACTACACGTTTTTATTCCACACAAACAGAAGCAGCACTTCCTCAGACAATACAAGTCAATAAATCAACAAATATCATGTCTCCAAGAACTACTCAAGAACCTAACAACTTATACAACATAAAGTGGCATATTTTTAAAAAGCTGGTTATAAAATAGAACATTAGGTAAAACACACTTTCTTGAAAATTCAGTCTAATAAAATACACACAGAGTAAAAACAGGGTTGAGATAATGAGTAATTTCTGTTTTCACTAAATTTGCCTGCAGTTAGTATGTGTTACTTCTTGGGGAAAAAAAGAGAAAAAGAAAAGAAAAGAAAGGTAAAGAAACCAAATCATTAATGTGAAGGACAAAGCTGAGTATGTCTCAGAATACAAATAAGGTAGTAAGACAATAATAAGGATAATAAAGAGGACTGAGTGATGAAATATATGAATAATAAAGAATTCTCAAAAACACAGGATAAATCTGGGTGTGGTGGCACACACCTGTAATCCCAGCACTTGAGATGCTGAGACAGGAGGACCTCTGTGAGTTCAGGGCTGGCCTGCGCCACATAATGAATTCAAGGCCACCCTGAACTACAGCAAGACCCTGTCTCCCAAAACTAAAATAAACAAAGCAAAGCAAAGCAAAACCAAACCAAACCTAGGAAAAGTGAATCAGAAACAATATTTACATGTATAATATTCTTAAGCTGTAAAATAGCCAGGTCGAAGACTTAAAAGTATCATAATGTTCTAGGTACAATATTAACAAAAGTTAGACAAATCTAGCTACTGTCTGTGGACACTTGAATTTCAGAGAAAAAGAGATAGCTTACTAGCATTTAGGAGAAAACGCCTCTACTCATAAAAGGGAACAAAAAATCAGTATGGCATTGGACTTCTAAAGTCCTAAATACTAAGCAATAATCAATGGAGCAATATTTACAGAATTCTGAGTGGAGCAGTTAATGATTGAGAAGTCTACATACACTCAAATGGAGGCACAGAAAAAAAGGCTCAGGTATGCAAGCCTAAGATAAAGGAACATTCATGCTACTCTTTTTGCAAAGAATCCTTACACGGAACTCCAGCTAATTCAGAGGGAAGTTTAAATTAAAAATTTGTGCGTGGGAAAACTGTGGTATAAATTGATTCCTGATACTATTTGACACAGAAAGTGGTATGTATGAATAACTACAAAATTAATGCAAAATAAAACTTTTATTTGAGAAGATAAGAAAAATAACATGAACATATAAGTTTGAATAAATAAAAAATAAAGTTGGCAGGAGAAAAGGGAGGAAACAAGGGAATGTATGCTACACTCGTAAGTTACTACTTTAAGAAGAGAGTTAAAATATGCACTTTAGTTGCATTTTTCAAAAAATGTTGCAGTAAATATGTAATTTAAAAAATGCCAATATCGCCCTACGAAAACCTTATTCATAGGTGTGCCCTTCACAGTGATGTCACATCAGGAACACTCCACGGCCATGGCTGGACCAGACTGTTAAAAACTGTACATCTTCCGAACAGAGCAAGCTCATTAGAGTGACTCACAGGACAGACCACACCTTACATCCCAGCACGCGGACGGCTAGAACATACATACCTGCACACTGGCTGCTACCACTGAAGACCCTGAGGCAGAGGATGGTCTATGTGGAGTAGACAACGGTTTAGTAGCACCCTGTGTTCCACTTCCTGTTCCCCCAGATAGACTAGTCCTACTAGCTCCGCTTGAGTTAAGGTTGCTACCTCTGCTGGCAGGTACATTCACTGCAGTTCCACTCAAGCTGTTCTTGCCAACAGTTCCAGTGGATGATGAGTTTGTTAGCTTTGAAGGGGCCTGAAGGTTTTTTGTAGATGGAAGGCCTGAAGTGCGATTAGAGGGCAACAAATTCAAGGTGGGAGACTGTCTGCTGATATTGATTCCACCGGGCTGTTTATGGACTGGGTTGTTACTGGCAGAGTGGCTACTCTGGGCTACTAGTGCATTTGGACTGGAGGAACTCGGGGATACAGTAGGCTTGGGAGACGGATTGGACTTAGAGATAAGTTTAGTTGATACTGAAGGCTTAGCTGACAGAGAGGGCTTGGGCGAGGCGGAAGGCTTCGGTGAGGGCAAGGGTTTGGGAGATGTGGCGGGCTTGGGAGACGCGGCCAGCTTGGGGGATGCAGCCATTGAAAAGGGAGATTTGAAACCCTGCGTGGTTAGTTGTGACACCATAGCCTTGGCTAAATAATTAGTGGAGGTAGTGGTGTTTGGTGCTGTTCTAGAAACTAGGGAGTGGGAGCCTTGAGAACCATTTCCAGGTGACGGGGTGGACAAGGGGAGGCGGTACATCAGCGGCTTCTCGGAAGTCTTAATTAGTGAGGATGAACAGGAAAGCTGGGGATTATTACTTAACTTCACCACTGGGTTGCTCTGTGACTTACTAATGGTGGCTTGTAATGGAGACACATAGTTCTGCTGGACAGCTGAATGCTGGTGCACCTTTGTTACTTGTGTTAACGAAGACGCATCCTGGGCCTCTGACGTTCCCAGAGTGTGAGAGGAAGCAGCAACTTGGGCTTGGGAAGAAGAGGAGACGTGAGTCTGTGAGGATGAAGACGCGTGAATCTGGCTTGACCTCTGGAGTCCTTGCTGGAGTAGCCTGGCTGGCAAAGGTTCCAAGGAGACTTTCGGGTTCTGAATTGAAGAACCAGCAATAAGGCCGGAAGAGATGCCAGTATGAGCTAAATCCTGGGGTTTCTTTGGTACTGGCCCTGTGTGACCAGCGATAAGACTTGACGAGTGTGCAGTCTGAGCAGAATCGAGCTTTTTGGGTGTAGCCAGTGGCAGCTTGCTCATGATACTTGCTAACTTTTCTTCTCTCAGTCCTGGCCGAGGTTTTGCAGCTGGCATGCTCATCCTTGAGCCAGCGGCTGGGCCTTTGTTCCCATTATTGATGACAGCTAAAGCTTCAGAAACGAGATCCAGCGGAGGGGAGTGGAAAGCAAGGTCCTCGTCCAGGGAGTCGTCGAGGCAGATGGTTTCCTGGGCTGGGGCTGAGCCGGAGCTGGCGGAGGCAACGACGGACGTACCGGAGCTCATGGACGGACCGCTGGCTGAAGCCACCAAAGATGCAGGAGCTTTCTGGTCCTTTTTTGGACTACACTCCTAGCAGAAGCAGCACCATATTGGAGAAGAATACGAACAGTTAATAAAGGAATACAAGATCGGTTTTTAAAGGACTAAGAAATTCTCAGGATAATTAGAACTTTTTCCTACTGGAAATTCTGAGACTGCCAAAAACAAAACAATTTTTGAGGACAGAGTGTTAGGTTCAGCTGTTCTCACAAAGCAAAGTACCTGACAGAGTGAACTGCCTTTGCCTAGGAAGCCATTCTAAGACAGGAGCTGACAACAGGCCGAAGGCACAGCTGTGAGCCAGTGATGCTGCTTATGAACTAACGACCTCTGCTGCCTGCCGCTCAGCTCCTCAGTCCTCCCTAAACCTACCTCCTCAGAGACTTTTCTTTCTGTTATTGGGTACTGGGGACTGAACCCAGGGCCTCCTGCATACTGGGCAGGGGGTCTGTACCCCCTACTCCTACCCCCTTTTGAGACAAGGTCTTGCTCAAGCGGGCTTCCAACTCGTAATCCTCCTGCCTCAGCCTCCCAAGTAGCTGGAATTATAGACACGTACCCCTGTTTTAGACTCTTTTTGTTCCCTTGGACCTCAAGAGAAACTCTGCCTTGATATTAAGACTCTGGCCTTCTGGCCTGGTGAGGTTTGTAGGGAAGCTGACCTTTACTCTCTGCTTCTTTGCGCTGTTGTCACTCTGTACCCCGACCTGCAGCCAGACACAGACAGCACCTCGGGACCAGTGCATTGAACTGGGAGATGCATATTTAAGTCCTATTTTGTACTAATTACAGTGGAAGCCATTTGTAATTTATTCAACATGTACTTATTAAAAGTCTACTGTCTTATGCTAAGAAGAGTGTTAGTAATTAAAACTCTGAATACCTAAGAGAATATTGTTCTCTTTTTATTTTTTATTTTTTTATTTTTTTTGTTCTCTTTTTAAAAAAAATCAACTTCTTTAAATTCAAGTGAGAGATAACAGCAGTAGAGTTGAAAATATCCAAAAATTAAAGAAAAAATTAAAAAGCAACTTTTTGAGATATATATAAACATACTTGATTAATTTCATTTTGTGAATTAATTTTTAAGAAGAAAAAAATTATTATCAAAGTCTTTTTAAGTAGTTCCCTAAGAACTGAAGCCCTTACACAGTCTTATATAATATACTCATTTCCTCTGCCACAGCACTTACCTTAAGCACAGTGGGGGAAGAGTGGAGAGGAAGAGTCTTTACCATCACCTCCTACGGTATTACAGTAAGTAAGCTGTTTAGAATGCTGGTACGCCAACGTCCTTGGCACTTTTTCTAGGCTTTTATTTTAAGTCAACCTTCCCCTCCCACTAAAAACTTCACTGCTTATCAGAAGTACAGGATATAATTGCACTAAGGTCACAACTGTCTGCTAAGATGAACGGGTAAAGCAGATGCAACATATTTGCTTTGACAAACCACCCAGTTACAGGATTAGTGGAAATCCCATCAATATAAAGAATATGGAATTGAGGTAGGGGAATGTCACAATAATACTGGAGGTATTACCAGTATAAAATTGCTATTTTAAGTAATTTTATTAATAATTTTCTTCTTTCTAAAAACATTTAATCCACCCCCAAAAATACCGTGTGGATTTATTTATTGTTTGTTTGTTTGTTTTGAGGCAGGGTCTCATTATATAGCTCAGGCTGGCCTTGAACTCACTATGTAGCCCAGGCAGGCCTCACACGGTGATCCTCCTGCTTCGGCCTCCCACAGTGCTGGGATTACAGGCATGTACCACCATGCCCGGCTCTCCTTGGATTAATTCTGGCAGAAAAAAACTGTTCACAATAAATAACTGTGTCAGAAGGAAGGTTATTCCACTTATACAGAATGTTATCCAATACATGAAGGAGTGGTTAGGTGGACAAGAGGGAGAGGAGAGAGATGCAGCAGACGGGAAAGAGATGTATACCAAAAAGTTAAGAGCTTTCTTCCTCTAAGAAGAAATTTCCTATATAGTTTTGCTTTTCTTCTTTCTTGTATTATTTGCATTTTCTTAGATTACTGAGAACAGCATGATGGGGCTGGGAGTAGAGCTCAGTGGTATAGCGTATGCCCAGCATGCACAACCCTAGGATCCATAGCTACAAATGCAAAAAACGAGATAGTAGGAAAAATCCAAACCAGCAATTCACCCTTTTCACCCTAGGAGAAGGAAAAGGTAATTATAGAAAAGTAAAAAGCCTGATTATTCCCCCATGTCATCTAATCCACCCATTATTAGAATTCTGATAAGTTTCCTACCCATTTATTCTATTAATAATGTTTCAATAGACATATGAAAACTCAGAAAAGAAAATAAAAACCATAACCAATCATTTGCAGAGAGCAGTAAGTTTATTATTCTGATAAAAATAAGGTCAAAGAGTCTGGGAATGTAGCTCAGTGTTATAGCACTTGCTTAGCATATATGAGGCCCTAAGTTCAATCCCCAGTACCACCAATAAATAAATGTCAAAAGAGAGCCCCAACAAGAGACTTAATGAAAGGCTCAACCTTGTTTGGATTAGAAGACAAAGTAGCTAACTAAAAGAAGACTCTTAATTGTGTATTCAGAAGTTCTAGTACCAAAAGTTAAAAAGGCCATAGGGTAGCCTGGCCATCACTTTAAAAGAAAAGCAATTCCATCTATCTGAAGAGATGAAAGATATGGAGAAATCTGTAACCTGAAGGCTTCCATTAAAATTAAATTTCAAATGATTGTACGCAGTTTTTAATTCTAGAGGTTAAATCTACTTCTCTTTCAAATCTACTTTGCTCACTCTGACATTTTAAAATCTCCTATTTAAGTAAAATGAGTTTATTTTAAACCCATAATCACAATTTGCCCTTCTGTTAGGGATCTAAGTCCACTGTTTGTTGTTTCTGCTGATTCTCATCACAGTAACACATTCCCTTATGCATTCTGTTTTAGACTGTTGAACTCCTGCATTTTCGCTGGGGTCCGGGCTTGAATCCAGGGCTCTGTACATGTCAAGCACACGCTCTCCCCTGAGCTCTATCCCCAGCTCATGTATGGCCTGCTTTCTAAGTAGTTAGCCCCGGAGGCCTATGACACAGATACATTGTATCCGAGAGCGTCTGTATTTTCCATTTGCCTTGGGTAATTATTACCCCAATAATTCTAAATTATTTTATCAGTTTTGGGTTTTCTCAGATTGTACAGGTAATGAAAACTAAGCTCTTAAACCAGGGAAATTTTTCAGGGAAGATTTTCTTTTCTCAATCTTGAAATGAGGCAAAGAGAAAATATATCAATTTCTCTGCTAGTGGGCAAATTTTTTCATCCTTCCTTTTACTAAAGATGCTATACTTTGAAAGCCCAGCTTCATCAACATTTATTTTAATTTCTGATCAGTACAAGCCCAAGAAAACCCTATCTGCTACAGTATATTCTGAGAAGAAACGTAAAAAGAAACTACAAGGTGAGGGATAAGCGTTTTAAAGGCAACTGAAGTTTCCAGAGTAGATTATCACTACGGCAGCTCTTTCTTCTTTTTGGCTGTGGACTGTCTCATATATGTGCAATCTCTGCTGTGTTTTTAAATGACACTTGTTATATTTTATCCAATATTTCTGAGTAGAATTGAGTTATACTTTACAATTTAATTAACGTCTGCAAATTTTCACTGCTGCACAATCACCTCATCTTGCAAATACAAAGGTTCTAGGATTTTTACAAAGTTGAAAACAACCAACTTACTACCTACTGATCTTCGCTAAATATCATACATCCTTTTTGTCTTAAGAATGTATTTCAACATTCATCAATTATGACTGACAAAAGATTTGGTGGACACTCACCTTTACTTTGGGTTTGGGTGCAGGAATCACCTTTTTCTTTGCCCTGAGGTAAAGGATTGAAATAAAGACCGTGTTCATAAGAGCCACAACACTCACTGGTAAGTATAACATACAACCTTAGAATTCTGTGGGTAAATAATTCGCTCTACCTTTTGGAAAGTCCTCTGAAGAAAGGAACCATATGTAACAACAGTATGCAGTTTATATGGGACTATCTAGCAACATTTGTCTCAATACAGATGAACTTAAAGAAAATGGCAACCATTAACAAAAATGAAATATAGATGATAAAGATTTTTAAAATGTAAATTAATAAAATATAAAGTAACTCAAAAAACAGGCTAACAAAGGTGCTACGGAAACTCACTTAAAAGAACTATAAGACTTTACAATTATTTGTACAGAAACAGCTTCAAGGAACATTAAGCTCAAATTAAACCATGAGAAGGAGTTGTGAATAACAATTTGTTTAAAAAACAAAATGAAAAGCTCAATTTATTATAGAAAATTATATTTTAAATGCTATTTAGTAGGCTGAGGCAGGAGGATTACAAATTTTGAGGCCAGCTTGGGCGACTATTATGACCCTGTCTAAAAATACAATTTTGGGGGCTGGGGAGATAGCTTAGTGGCACAGTGCCTGCCTGGCAAGCATGAGGTCCTAAGTTCAATTCCTGGTACCCACACATAAAAAGTCATATAATTTTTAAAATTAATTATTTAGGTTGTTTTGAGACAGGGTCTCCTGTCCCAGTACCTCCAATACTACAAAACAAATAAATAAGACAAAATAATAGCAAAAAAAGCACAAGAAAAAATGCTATGGAACCTTGGAATCTTTAATGTAAAACACTTGCTCATTAAGAAAATCATATGGGTTCTATAGTAGGAAAAAATATTCAAATGTCTGTTGAATAATTAAAGGGTTGACCAACTACAATGCGTCACCTTTTTGAGTATTTCTACTTTACTAGGTTGCAATGTTATCAGTTAGATTAACAAGTATCTTGATTAATACCATCAATATACAGCTTCATGAAGGAAATTAGCGCCAGCCCCTCTCTGGAGGCTTGGGAAGGAGCAGAGGAGTCCCGCCTGCTGAGGTCAAACTCCAACTTCTAGCCTGCTCCGCACCTTGATTCTCCTCAGCAAGGGCAGCAGAGGTGACTACCAAACGTTTGGTCTGACTCAGGATAAGACCAACACCCCAGAGGAGAGTTTCACCTGAGCACTGAAATGATGCTCTACTGCAGAGACTGGGTGAGAGACAGCCACGGGAGACAGGCTTGGAAAGGGTGGGGAGTAGATACAGATCCCCTGAGAAGCTCAAACTCTGGCCAGGAAGATGGGGGACATACAATCTGGTGGAAGGCCAGGTTTAGTGCGTACAGCTTTCAGAGGGGGCTGCATCTGAAGGTGATGGCATTGAGTCCAGTGGTCTACTGGAACTCCTGCACTGCTACTTAATCTAGGGCAGATCCCAGCACTCAGGAAGCTGAGGTAGGAGGATCACTGCAAGTTTGAGACCAGTCTGGATTACAAAATGAGCTAAAGACCAGCCTGAACTGTATAGTGAGACCCTGTCTCAAAAGGACAAAAACAAACAAACAAGCAAGCAAAAATCTAGGACAGGCCAGTGATCAAATTTACTATAGGTCAATATCTGGATCATCCAAGTTTCTATACTAAAACCATAGCTCTCCTTGCTTTAGTTAAGTTCATTTTTAATGAGCATTCATGGTTCATGAATGGTTCTTAAGGTTTGTCAGTATCCAGTTTATATTTGATGCTACTGTTGTTATGGACTTTACTACTATAATCAAGGTGACACACTTGTTGCTGTCAATTGGTTTTCTCTGTATGCCAATAGCCGGATTGCCTGGGAGTCAGAAACAAATGGCCCCCTGCCTGTTGGCCATTCCCAAAGAACTGGGTGTTGAGGTAAATAACCCTAAATCTCCTCTCCCAAATAAATGAAGGTAGCTGGATCCAATAGTTAGCCATGACCAGAGGATATCTGCATACCTACTATAATCAACCAGCAAACCATGGCATAGAAAACAAAAAAACAAACAAAAAATAGAAATGTGAGAAACCAAGGCAACAAAATACCACTCAAAACTCTCAATTCCCCTAGAAAGCCAACTCAGAGGGGATCGAAGGGGAGGAAATAAAAACCCTAAAAAAGCAGAAATGTCTTAAAAATGTATCAGTGGAGGTAATAAAACAGATCAGTAAGGTGTTTAGCAAATTCAAAGAACATATGATTAGTGATCCTAATAAAACAAATCATCAGTGAGTCTAGGGAAGACACTAATAAAAACCTAGTGGAGCTAAAGGAAGAGACATAAAACATGAATACCCAGCATAGAAAATAATGGGAGTCCATGAAAAAGTTCTGAACAGAAATCCAGGAGACTGAAAATATGGGCAGGGTGACCAATGTTAGGACAGAATGTCAGATCTGGAAGACAGAGCTGTGGTTAGTGATCAGTTGATGAAAGATACCTAAAAACAAGAAAAGACCAAAAAATATGGATCCAACAGCTCCTAGATGACACAAAGACGACTAACCTAAGAATAACTGGAATTAGGAAAAACCAGAAGACAGCACAAAGGGCACATAAAACACATTTACAAAAGTAACAGCAGAAAACGTTCCAGACATGGAAAGACAGTTTAACATATGGCGAAGTGAGCATATAGAACCCCAAATAGCCATGATCAGAAAAGCAGAAAACCAGCCAACCAACCAACCAACCAACAACAAACCACTGCATACCACAGCATAATTAAAATATCAGAAATCCAACAAAAAACAATCTTAAAAGGTGTTAGGGAAAAGCAACAATTTACCTATAAAGAAAAACCCATGAGAATTATAGCAGACCTCTCCACATAAATCTTAAAGGCAAGGAGAGCTTGGAACAAAGTACTTCAAGCCCTAAAAGAAGGCAACTTCCACTCAACTGGTATATCCTGCAAAAGTATCTTTCAAAATTGATGGAGAAATAAGACAGTTCCATGATAAAGAGCACCTGCAGAAGTTCACGACCACCAAATCAACACTCTGAAAAATTCTCAAGGATATCCTAGGAAGAGACAATGCCAAAAGTCCAGTAGAATGCATGGCAGGGTATGCAACTGAGTACAAGGGAAAGAAAGGAAAACAGGAATAAGTCAGTACCTATAAATCTGAGTGGTCTCAATTCACCTATCAAAAACACAAATTAGCAGAATGGACAAGAAACAAAATCCAGTGGCAGTATATAAGGAACACATTTAACCCAAAAGGAAATTCACAGACTAAAAATCAAAGGATGGAAAACAATATTTCATTCACTCAGAACCCCCAAGCAAGCAAGAGTAGCTATCCTATTTGCAGACAAAGTAGCCTTTAAGCCAAAGCTAATCAGAGGCACATCACTATACATTATTGGTTAAGTAACTACTCAACAGTAAGAGATAACAATTACAAACCTATATGAACCAAACTACAGCATACATAACAGATCAGATATGTATCAATACAATTACAGTTGGGGGTCTCAATACCCCACTATCACAAATAGAGAGATCAACTAAACAAACAAAATCAACCAAGAAATATCAGAGTTGAACCAAACCTTTAAACAAATGGACCAAATAGACATGTACGGAGAGTTCCACCCAACAACAGAGCACATATTCTTTCTTGCAGCATGTGGTACTTCCTCCAAAACAGACCACATACTACCTAATAAACATGTTTAAGTACATGGAAAAAAAATCCAAGTTTTACCATGCATACTATCAGATCATGGTGCAATAAAACTAGAAATCAATGGCAAAAGAACAGAAATTATGCAAACATATGGATTTTTTTTTTTTTTTTTTGTCTTTTTGAGACAGGGTCTCACTATGTAGTTCAGGCTGGCCTTGAGCTCACTTTGTAGCCCAGGCTGCTCTTGAACTCACAACGATCCTCTTGCCTCAGCCTCCCGAGTGCTGGGATTACAAGTGTGCACCACCCTGTCCGGCAAAATGTATGAAAATTAAACAACACAGTCTTGAATAATCAATGGGTCACAGAAGAAGAAATTAAATAAGATAGTTCCTAGAATTAAATGATAATGCCAGTACAATGTACCACAATTTATGGAACACAATAAAAGCAGTCTTAAGAGGGAAGTTTATAGCTGTGAATACTCATATCAGAAAAGCAGAATGAGCTCAAATAAAATACTTAATGATATACCTTATGGTCCTAGACAAACAACAATGTAAATCCAGAGTTTGTACAAGAAAAGGAAGTATAACTATCAGAGCAGAAATCAATGAAATGGAGACTAAAAATACCAAGAATCAATGAGTTGAAGAGCTGGTTCTCTGAAAGAATAAAAGAGAAATACCCTTAGCTAATCTTACTAAATCAAAGAAAAGACACAAATTAGTGCAATGAGAAATGAAAAAGGTAAAATCACAACAGATATTGCTAAAATCCAAAAGATTAGTAAATACTTCACAGACCTATATGCCAAAGAGTTGGAGAACTCAGAAGACATGGAGAGTCTAGATATGTATGAATTATGAAAACTAAACCAAAGAGTTTAAAAATCCTGAGTAATCCATTAACAGGGAATGAAACTGAACAGTAATAATAATAATAAAAAAAAAACACCCCAAAACCAAAAAACTACCCACCAACAAAATCCCAGGACTTGATGGATTCACTGCTGAATTCTACAAAAACTTTAGGGAAAATATAACACTAATACTCCTCAAACTGCTTAATGAAATCAAGAGGGAAGGGATACTCCCAGAGTTAATTCTTAGAAGCTAGTATTACCTGATCCCAAAACCGGACAAGGATCCAACCAAAAAAGGAGAACTACATGCTAATCTCTCTGCTAAGGCTTGTGTCTAGATGTCCCCTCAAAGCCTCATGCAGTGATAACTGGGACTTTTCAGAGAAGGCTGGGTCTACAGCATATGATACTGGGATTAGGTGTGTTGTTGCCTGGATTGAAGGTGTGTGATTACTAAATTAGTCCACTGATTGGT